TCTATCTATCTATCTATCTATCTATCTATCTATCTATCTATCTATCTATCTATCTCTATCTATTTATCTTTGTCTTTGGCAGAAGGCGAACCATTCATTTTCATGATCTCTACGATTGGGTGTTTCACTAAAAAAAAAGAAGCTCCGCTACATGATCCCTTTGACCCACTGCTGGAGCAACAAATTTATTAGAGATACAGGCATGAGAAATGAAAAGGAAGTAAAACAATTCAAGCTTATTGTGTGTCTTTCTTTCATACTGCTAATCCGGTTTACACATCACGCCTACATGTCTCAATAGGGCTTTATACACTGTGGCAGAGGCAGAAGAAAATAAAAGGTGTGTGTGTGTGTGTGTGTGTGTGTGTGTGTGTGTTTCATATGTATGTGAAATAAGTATAAAAGCAGGAAAGACTGAGATTTTAATTCATTGTGATTTGTCAGTTCTCTGTCTACAACAAATTAAAAAAGTATCTTTTTTTAAATTATTTCCAAACTGTACAGACTTATCAAAATATATTGTCAGACTATAATCCAGTTGCATAAAAACACTAATAGTTTGAGCCAGGAATTACATACATCCTCTCACACTGTACTTAAGATGATGTGTAAAACTCCAGAGTTAGCCTGAGTATATTAAACCTAAAGGTGCCCACCTTGGTTCAGTATGTTAACTTAAAATGATAATGCAATCAAAGGCATTTACAGCCATGTGGAAAGAAATGCTGTAACAATCAGAACACACCCAACTGAATGCTCCTTGTATTGTAACAATGCACCTAAGGCAACCAGAAATAAGTGATAACAACAAAAGATGATACTGAAGAACACTGTCTTTCTTTATGGAGTCAATTACATGTTGAGTTACTGAGGCCAAACCCCAAATCACACACACATACAAACACCAAACACACAGACAGTGATGAAAAAGGACTATTGTAGTGGTTTCAGACTTCGGTTATCCAATTATAACATACTTAGAGTCACCCATTGTGGGTCTTTCTTATTTATAACTAGGTCTCCCCACCCTTCCAACAGGGGGAGGAGCAAAGAATGAGAGAAGTATATCATAAATTCTAGGCTCTATGAAAATAGACGTCTCTGAGCGATTCCTTAAAGTACAAGTCAAAAAAGAATGAGAAAATGATCATTGTGGGGTTTGTGCATGCATAAACTAGACTTCATTTTGAAAAAAAAAGAAGAAACTTGGAAAAAATACATCTCTCATTTTTAGGCTTTGGAATGGTCTTGATTTAGGAGTTTCTATCTACCTCCTGTGTCAGTACAGTCAACCTCTTTGATCCACATCAATAGGTGCATGCCGAGATTAACACCTTGAATGATTTAGACACATTCTTTATCAGGCTATCCTGACGAACACCCAGGACATCTACAATACATCCGCTTCTCCAGTATGTGGTCTGTATAAACCCATGAGTCTTAGGGTTTACCCTAGGACAGACAACATGATTTAACTTTTCTCTTCCCTACATTTTTTTTCCTTCTCCCCAAGGTACAGAGAATCTCACTTCTCCTCCCACCCCAATCCCAACCATGCAAACGCTTCCAAATAAAATTCACGACTTACTTCCCAGTTTTTAGTAAGGTGAATCTCTCTCTTACACTAGTTAATCTCGAATACTTAAGTGCTACTCTGGCATTTGGTCTCTCCCTGTGTTTCGGTGGGTGGTAGGAAAGTGTGTCAGTGTCCGTCTGGGAGGGGGTAAGGGGGGAGGGGAAAGGAAGTATGTACTCATCTTTTTGAAAACACTATTGGATCCTTTATTTCCACTCTAGGTGATACCCCCTAAGGGAGGTTGGGTAGTAAGGAAGAAAAAGGTAAGAATGTGTTCTCTAAACTGTGGCATTTAGAAATTATTTCTCCCTTCCTTCTCCTCCTCCTCTTCCACCCCCTTCTTCCTATTCCCCTCCCTCTTCTGCTTCCTTCCTCTTTTTTTTTTTTGGTCATCTTTCTTTTTTCCTTCTCCTCACTCCTTCTGTCTCTAATTGTCTACCCCCAGATCTCTGTATCCATCCCCCTTCCTCTGATCCTGTAAACAATTCTCTTCACCATGTCAAATCAGTAGCCAGGACCTACGGGGGCTGATTAGCGGAAGCCAGGGTGGAGACCCTTCCAGGCGTGAAAATGGGATCGGAGAAGAGCCACTCCGTGAGAATTGCCCTTGATAAGTCGCATGACCAAGGACACCCCCTGTTCGAGCGCAGAGAGAAGACCGAGGGGGAGGCGGAGGGGAGAGAAACATTTAAATAAAAAAAGTTAGGCTAGACTGACTGCTACGGAGGCTCCGCGGGATTCTGAGTTCCCCCCTCCTATTCCTCCCCTACCCCCCCACCTCCCCACCCCCAGTCAACACACACAGCCGGCCCCCTTCAGGGAGCACTGGTTTCTCTGGGAGGAATGGAGCCAGCTGTGCCATCCGTTTTCTTTGCCTGCGGAAAGCAAGAATGAACCCCGACACCTCTCACCCCTAGGTCTCCCTTGTAGCCCTGCCGGCGACCTCAGGTATCAGCACTAAAGGTAGTTGCTAGCAAGAAGTCGCTTTGTAAAGGATGGGGATAGGATGGATTTTTAAAGATAAATCTCTCACTCACCATCTCCATTAAGGAGCCACTTCCCGAGAATTAGGGAATCTGGGGCCGTTTCTGCTACTGCTTCTTCTGTTGCTGTTGGTAAGTAGATGGGGGGTGGGTGTGAGTACGGGGTGGGGGGGGACTTTGACTTCACATCAATTTCTTTTCCTTTCTCCCTTGTACCCCCTCCTCCTTTTCTCCTCCTCCTTTTCTCCTTCTCCTTCTTCTCCTTCTTCTCCTTCTCTCCTCCTCCTCCTTCTCCTTCTTCTCCTCCTTCTCCTTCTTCTCCTCCTTCTCCTT